ATAATTGTAGTCCATTTCTTTGAGTCTTGGGATTTAAGCATAGGAGAGCGTAAGCGAAATGTTTATCTCCATACTGCTTCAACCTTGCAAGAGGATTTCTCCAAAAATAACAAAACATCTTACGTAGATAGTTAAAACCGAGTTTGAGACACGCACAACTGGTATGATGCCTTCTTATTGCTTCTAGAGTCCTTCATCCTTAAATATCTCAATCAATTTGACCATTGTTTCAGTCGAGTTCCCGTACTAATATTCGCGAATAAGCAAGATCTGGTCTCGTCTGCGCCAGCGTCAGAAATTTCAAAACGGCTGAAGCTCACGGAGATCCGTGATCGCGTGTGGCAAATACAAGGGTGCTCAGCTCTAACCAATGAAGGAGTCTCGGAAGGCATCAAATGGGTGGCCGAAACGATCAAGTCAAAATGAAATTGTAGACATGTATAACGAATAAATTTTCAACTTACAATTTATCTGTGGAAAGTATTTTCAAGTGAAGTCAAGACAATTGTATAAAGCCTGCTCAAAAATCGTTAGTCCCTAGAAAATTTCAGAAAAGTGACTTTTGGCGGAACACATTTATTTTCTAATTTTCATTCGTTGTGAAGATGATTGAGTTCCTAGAACTACAGTTACTTTTTCCAGACTCTGTGCAGCTCTCACCCAGAATCTGAGCAAAAATTCAAAGAAGAAGTAGAAAAAGTGAGTTTGTAATATTAATTATTCTCTTTCTTTGCTGACACTTGGTAGAGGATCTTTTAGCCCCAATTTCAAGCTGAACTGCATTTTGATATTCTAAATGTTAGATTTAACAATCTGTTCCAGGCAGTCGAGCTTCTCTACGACGCTGATCATCTTCATTACTTCTTTACCGATAGAGATGGAACGTTGAAAAGCTATGCATGCAGCTATCCGTCTAGTATTCAACCAGCATATTCTGGAGTTATTCAGGTGAAAAAATGATTTTTTTCAAAAGTATTTATAGACTAGTCATTATCGCTTTCATCGTCAGATTTAGGTTTAAATAAGTGCGTGGAATTTCAATAACTCGCTCCTAGTAGTGATCTAGCAAAGCTCAAATCCAAGAGAGACGCTATAATAGCTCTACAACTTCCGCTTCTTAACAATTTACTTGTTTTGCGATTCCAGGCCCAGTTCGCACGACGATGCGCTCAGAC